CACACATACCTTGCACAGTTAGGTGCACCTGCATGGTCCTGGGGGTGTGCTGGGTCTGCACGGAGCAAGTGTAGGGCCCATCGTCGGTCACATCCACGTCCTGGATCTGCAGGCTGTACTCCCTCCTGTTGGCTGTGGCGATGGAAACCCGGGGATCCACCGACCACTTGTCGCTGCCAGCAAAGATAATGCTCGACCGGTTCAGCCAGGCACCTTTAGAGGCTCCATCTTCCAAGTAACACCTGGGAAAAAAGTGAAACCATCAGGATGAAAATGTAGGAGCTGTAAAGTCCCATGCACCGCTATTGATTTTTAGACTGAACACAAATATCAGAGTTGAACCTCAAACTATGGATCGATTGTAAATTCAAAACCATCCTAAATCCAAAAGCCCATCTTACAACACAATAAACACACACATATTTTTCTGTTCTTTCTTTCTGGTTTTCCTGCTGGGAAAGGTTAGTGGAGCAGTAGCAAGAAAGTCTCAGTTATTTCTGACTGGGCTGGATCAGCCCTTTCTCCTCCAGTCCTGGCCCGTGAGGATCAGAAGCACCATGTGCTCCCATGAAAAATACTGCCCTGTTCCTAAGGCACAACCACCTCCTGTTTGCTTAGTGAAGGAACCAAGAGATTTATTCCACCACAATATATAAGGACACTGTAGAATCCAAATCATTTTTTTTTCTCTTTTCAGAGAGTTCATGGAATCACAGAATCAGGGAATTGTTTGGATTGAAGGAGCCTTAAAGTTCACCCAGTTCTACCCCCTGCCATGGTTAGGGACACCTTCCACTACACCAGGTTGCTCCAAGCCCCATCCAACCTGGCCTTGAACATTCCAGGGATGTGGAACTGTTGTCCCTCCCAACCCAAACCAGTCTGGGATATGATTCTCTGAAAACCAGCAAAGCCCAGCAGTAGCTGGAAAGGGACGGGATAAAAGGACAGGGAGAACATGTGGGAAGAGCTTTATTTCCTGAGCTGATGGAGAGACTGAGCCAGTCTGCAGCAAGGTTAAGGATATTTAATGAGGAATCAACACCCACTGCACACTGTACTCCAGGTTTCCATGAAGAAGGTGGCATCCAGCATGTGGGAAAAGGCAGAGATGGAGTAATGGCAGAGAAAAATCCTGATGGACTCGGGATTTAAAGCAGGAATCTGCAAATCCAGGAGTAATCTGAGAGTGATGCTGTAGGATTGGGAAATCTGTATTTCTTTTCATAGATTTAAGGAACTATGGAGAATGAATGAGGCAGATTTTAGGCTCACCATCATGCCCACATTGGGAATGCAGGCTTTAAAATGACTTTAAAGGCTGAAGGAAGGTAATAAGGAAGGTAATACAAAGTGCAACAGACTAATGGGACATTTTATTTGATAAAGAGGTTTTCACATAAAGGAAATCCAGCAGAAGAAAGGAATGCAATGGAGCTCATCTCTTTGATGAAACATTAAAATAGCACAACTATAGAAACTGGGAGGGGGAAAATGGTGACTTTGTGGCTTAAGCATGTGGCAGTATTGTTTAAGGGGAAAATGACATTCCTTTTAGGAATAAGAAACTAGAAACATGAGGCTGAAATTCTTCAGAAATGAATCATAAGAATAACCATTTATTTAATTAATGATCTCAACATTAAATCTGAAAGGGTTCTAAGAGAAGATACAACATGGGATAAAAAATCCCCATTTGTATAGCAGAGAATTGGGATGTCACTGGTGAGTGTCACTTTGAGGTTGAAGAGCACAGCAGACACCTCTGAATCCCTGCAGGAGGAATTCTGTAGGGTCTGGTCCCATCCAGAGAAGGCAAGGAGCCACTTTCAAAGTCTTATGAACATTTTCAAGTCGATTCTAATCAACAGCAGAATGGGGAGAAGCAGAGAAAGCTCTAATTCACTGATGTTTTTCTATATCGTGTTTCTTTTCTGCTGCTGTCTCTGCAGAGCTGGATCCAGTCAATTACAGCAAGTCTGACAACCTGGGCTGGTGGAAGGTGTCCCTGCCCATGGCAGGGGGTGCAATGGGATGATCTGTAAGGTCCTTTCCAATCCGGGTCTTTCTATGATTCCGTGATTGTCCAGGTCCTGATGAAGCATGTGGTGGTGGTATGTGAGAACATCTGTTTCAAACTAAACATTATCTCCAAATAAGGTGCTTTGCAAACAGATTAAATATTTCACCTCAGACAGGCTCCTTCAACAGCCCAAAGCTCTCCTCTCTTCACTTACTCAAGCCCCATCCGCGTTCCCTCAGGCTGTGGGAGTGAAGTGATTTGGAAATGCTGCAGAATTTGGCTTGGAATGTTTTGCACAGGATGGCTTTCAGATCCAGCAGCAGCCAATGTGCTGTATTTTCCCACCATGCACGTGGGATGCGATGGATAAAGTGCATATTTACTCCATGGAAGCGGCAATCAAATGATTCATCTCAGAAATGTTTTCTAATCTAACAAATTTAATCCCTTGCAGTTTGCAAATCACTTTTCAGTTCTGAAAACACAGTTATTCCCTAAAACTGTTCCACAGGCAGCTCTGAGACCACGTCCCCCCATGCGAATCCCTGGCCAGCAGAGGCCACACTGTAGTTACTGCTGCAGAACAGAAATAAGAACAATTAAGGATTTGCCCCCTTTAAATGATGCTTTGGCTCTTCACCTCCATACCTTTACAATTTCCTGTGAAAGAGTAGCCTTTCACATATGGTTTGTGTGACATGTGGATGTGGATGAACAATTGCAAAGAATAAACACTGAGATCAATAAAAACACCAACCCCAGGCAATTCCATGGGATCTGAGCAGCACACATGGACTCTGTGATACCCCAGCCACCTTCATACCTAAGATCTGCCTGTCTCTGTGCTCCTCATTGCTCACAGGGTTCGCCACTGGACAAATGGCTTCATTTTAACTAAGAACACTGGGGTTTACGCTATTTTTTAAGCTGCAGATAAGAAATGATAACTCTGTATTATTTTCTGTGTACCAACATGAACATGGCATGGACCTGTTTCAGGAGAGGTCTAAGCTGGATATCAGGAAAAGGTTCTTTCCCTCGAGGGTAGCTGGGCACTGAACAGGCTCCCCAGAGCAGTGGTCATAGCATCAAGGCTGACAGAGCTCAAGGAGTGTTTGGACAATGCTCTCAGAGACAGGGATTGTTGGGGTGTCCTGGGCAGGGTGAGGAGCTGGACAGAATTATCCCTGTGGGTCTCTTCCAAGTCAGGATATTCCATAATTCTATGATATCTGGAAATACATAGGCTCTTCTGACTGAAACCCTGCAATGGTGCAGCTCCTACAAGAAGATGGGGCGTGGAGCAACCTGGTCTAGTGGAAGGTGTCCCTGCCCATGGCAGGGGGTTGGAATGAGATGAGATTATGGTCCCTTCTGACCCAAACCATTATGGGATTCTATGATCTGCTTGCTGTACAGACACACTGTCCGTGTCCAGGCCCCTTGGACTGGGGGATCAGAGTACATTTGGTGACAACCTCCTCATGAGTGAGGACTGGGGAGGAAAGGCAGCTGTGAAGAGGCAAGGACCCTTCAGAGCAACCCAGTGAGGAGTTCAGAGCCCCCAGCTGTGTGGATCCTGACTGCACCTTGCTGTGCAGCCTGGGCAGTGAGATGCCCACATTCAGTGCCTGGAGTGCAGCTGCACAGCGCTGCCCAAAGTCCTCCCTGAGAACCTCTAGTTCCTTAAGGGAGCAGCAGGAAAGCTGAGTAAAAGGTGTTACAAACCCTAAAACAGGAATAGCCAAGTGAAGATTTAATAAACCCCTCAAATTTGGGTTTGTGCTCTGGAACAATTTGCCCATTTAATCTTCCAAAACCCTCAGGGAGCTCAAACATGAGTTTTCAGCCAACACGAGACATGAGGCTGAGCAGAGCTTCGATTTCATGGGGAGCTCTGAGGAGCTGGCAGCCTTCCAGTGCAATCCCCTGGGATGAGGCTGAGCCTCAAGCCAAGAGCCCAACTCCACCTCCTGGTTGGGAGTGCCATAAATACATTAATAATGACCCCAGACCAAGGCACACACAAAGTCTGTGGGATCCCAGCACTGAAGGCCCAGAGCGACAGGACCAGGACTGTGGGACCTGGGGAACATCACTGCCTATCACTGGGAGACAACTCAAGCCAAAGAATGCTGAGGTTTAATAAAGTCCAAGATTAAAACATTTCCTCTGGTAATCTATGGGAAATAATTTATTTAAAAGCAAATATCAGTGGCCCTCCCTCTCTTCTCCCTTTCCCTCTTTTCTCCCTTTCCCTCTCTTCCCTCTTTTCTCTCTTTCCTTAAATTCTGTTTGTTTTTAAACTCATGACAGCATTTCCTGCAAAGTAATTTTTGAAATCTATGCATAGGACTAATTATTTTTAGCAGTTAATAATTATACTCTAGCACAATTAAAGTAAGCATAACAATCATTAAATAAAACTAATTTTTGCTCTTTTTACCTTTACATGGTTTGGAAAACTATTGATGAAACCAGAGCTGAACTCAGAAGAGAATTCTTCTATTTTTAAACTTGGAAGATTGGAAAAAAATACAATTTATTTTTTAACTGATGATTGTAATCAGAAATTCCCTACTCAACAAGCATAAAAAATAGATTTTAATGTTAACTGTCATACACGGCTGAGGGTACTTTATTATTTTTCCAATCATTATTAATGGGGATGATCTGTAATTTGTAAGTACAGAAAAATTGAGTCTCACCCAGCTTCCTTCGAGTTTTTAATTCGCTTTTTTTTTTTACACCTCCCTCTTTCCCAGCTCTCTAGTCTATTATTCCCCCATAATTAAAACAGAGACCTATTAATCTCTGTAAAAAAACAGTTCTTTGCAGTTGCTTAATTAAAGCAGCACATGGGCTCTGTCTCCAGAAGCCTTCGCAGTGCACCAAGGCAGGGGCTCCCAGCTGGTTGCCCCTGAAGGACAATGCATGGGAATGCATGTGGAGCCTTCCCACACTTCATAGAGCAGAGGAATATGGGACACTTGTCCATCTCCAAATAGCCTTTGATTCCCTCTGGTTTAAGGATAGTGCTTCTGGATAGTGCTTGGGCAGTGTTTAACAGAAAAATAATCTTAGAATCCCAGAGTGGTTTGGGTTGGGAAGAACCCTAAAGCTCACCCAGTTCCACCCCCTGCCATGGGCAGGGACACCTTCCACTATCCCAGGTTGCTCCAAGCCCCGTCCAACCTGGCCTTGGACACTTCCAGGGATGGGGCAGCCACAGCCTCTCTGGGTAACCTGTGCCAGGGCCTCCCCACCCTCACAGGAAAGAATTTCTTCCCAATATTCCAATATCTAACCCTGCCCTCTGGCAGCGGGAAGCCATTCTCCCTTGTCCTGTCCCTCCAAGCCCTTGTAAATCTTTCACTCAAGAGGACCAAATGCTGCCATTTTCCTCACCCATTTTATTCACTCCTTGTGCAATTCCTTACTTGACCTAGATTGCCAAGCTAAAAGGATAATTAAGTTAAAAACTGTCTCATAAATCTGTAGGCAAATTCAACTCACACAACCCTCTCATTTCACCCACAAGTCCCAGGGGCCTCCATTTGGTGCTCCCTCCCTAGGTGGGATGTAGGAACACCAGGAGCTGTGGGAAATGGCCAGGAAATACCAGGAGCCATTGCACTGCCCAGCTGCAGAATCCTTCAAAATACCTCTCTGGCTGAGAGGACACACCAGTGACATTCTGTGAGATGCCTCCTCCATAAATCACATCCCCTCAATGTCAGAACATGTATTCCAGGTGGGAACATGACTCATTTCTGTGAAGGCTGTGTCTCTAAAACCAGCAATGCTATTGCAGTTCAGGTTAAAAGTTCCATCTCATTTACACAAATCCTGGAATCCTTTCTTCTTCCTGGAAGCCGGAGGAATTTGACTTGGAAACGTGTCTGGTTTTATGTAATGGGTGCTCTGGGTGCTGGAGGAGCTGCCTGACGCCCACGAGGGATGGCAGCAGCCCCCTTCATCACCCTGCAGTGGATGACTGTTCACCAAAGCAGATGTGAAGAGGTTTTATTGCTTACTACAGCAGCTTTTTTTTTTTTTATCCAGCAAAATTGGATTTGGCATTGAGTTATAGCTGCTTCCCCCAGAACATGGAAAATCTGTGCGAAAAATAGTGAATTCCTTCTGCTTTAAAGGAGACTGTCTTTGAGCTGAGCAGTGAGAGAAGAGAGAAACACAAGGGTTGGGGCCTGCCTAGAAAAACATCCCCAAGCTCAGAACATAAAATGAGACATCCAAGCCCCAGAACCAGAAAATCACACCAGAAATCTGCTAAGAACCCTTGCAAAAGTTTTTTTATGGATCATCTGATAAATGTTTCTCCATGTTTTCCACAGATTCTTACAAATCCTATCTTAGAAGTTTGTTATGCCAAAGGAATTTCTCTAAACATTAAAAATAGGTGTGATTATAGTTGATCACAGAATCCTGAAATGGTATGGGTTGGGAGGGATCTTAAAGATCATCCAGGCCCTCTGCCATGGGCAGGGACACTTTCCACTATCCCAGGTCACTCCAAGCCCTGCCCAACCTGGCCATGCACACTTCCACGGAGGAGGCAGCCACAGCTTCTCTGGGCAACCTGTGCCAGGGCCTCATCACCCTCACAGGGAAGCATTTGTCCCTAATCTCCAATCTTACCCTGCCCTCCTTCAGCTTAAAGACACTTATTTTTGTGACCCTTTTACTTCTGTGATCAAAATCAGCTTTTCCATGTCTGCTGTAGGTCAAAGCCTGGAACTCTTCACAGAAACCTGCACAGCTGCTCATTACCATCACAGTTTTTAACTTTATTTACAGAACAGTCCAGTCCATCAGGGAGCTGATGCATCGATGGCTGAGGTCGGGATTGGTGCCCACTGAGCCCCAGCTGCATCCACACCCCAAGCTCAAGGTGCCCCCAGCACAGCTGCACCCCCAGCTCAGGGTATCCAGAGTGTAAAGCTGCTGCAGCTCCAATCTCACCTTTTCCTCAGGTAATTTAACCTGTGCTCTTCACTGCCAGGCCTGAAAGAGTGGACACATGGACTGGGAGGTCACTTGGGGAGGAGACTTGACCAGTGCTTGGCTGCAGCCACTGGCATGAAACAATCCCTGAAGTGAAGAAGTATTGAACATGGCAGAGGAGTCACTCCAGGAAGAATGGAAGGTGAGAGACGTGGGACTAAAGAGTTTCAAAATCTTAAGTCTTAGGAAGATGGGGTTTT